AAAATCTCTCAAAAAAAAAAAAAAAAAAAAAGAATGTCACTAATAACCTGAAATCGCTCGAGGCTGCCTCTGAAAAGTATTCTGAAAAGGAGGACAAATATGAAGAAGAAATTAAACTCCTTTCTGATAAACTGAAAGAGGCTGAGACCCGTGCCGAATTTGCAGAGAGAACTGTTGCCAAACTGGAAAAGACCATTGATGACCTGGAAGAAAAACTTGCCCAGGCCAAAGGAGAGAACGCGGACTTACATCAGACACTGGATCAGACACTAAATGAACTTCATTGTGTATAACCGGAACAGAAGGGTCTTGTTCCAACACAAACACCAGAGCACCGTGTCTTTCTCTTCTCTTGTAAGAAGTTTTTTTTGTTTGTTTGGTTTTTGTTATTGCATCTTCGCTTTGCTGGAAATGTCAAGCAAATTATTGAACACATGACCAAATATTTTGTATCTGAGAAGCTTTGAGCATCAGTTAAATCTAATTCCTTCCTCCTTTCCAATGGCACCAGCTTTTTCAGCTCTGTTATTATTCTTAAGCTGCATTTATTCCTGAGGTAGGCCGGGTATTTCATAGTGAGCATCAGACTGAGGGCAGCTGGCTCCTAGGAAAATAGACCACCCCACACGTTCAAGAATAGACTCTGCTCTCTAGTCATAGATCAGTTTAAAACGCTGAAGAATGTAACCCCTGGGTCGCAGCTGGTCAAACAACAGCCTGTGAAGGCTATGGACCATTACATTAACTGGGTGGGAATTTTCCATCCAGAGTGGGGGGGGAAGTGGGGGGACTATGTTGGGAAGTCAGAAACCTGAGATAAACTTATTCATCCTGGCCCTGCTCCACCCTCCACTCTGCAGAACAAACGTCTGAGCCGGCGTGAGCATGCTTAGGAAACAGCCGTAACTACCCACACGTTTTCTGGATAGATCCTGTTAGGCTCTTCCGCATTTCTTCCATTTAAAAGTGATTCTCTGAAGAGCATGTCTGTATTCCTTCAAGGACCCGTTTGTGTGCTCTAAGGCCAGCCCTCAGCCGGAATATGGTGGCGTTCGGTCCTGTTCAGACCAGAACAGCTGCTGGCCATCAGTACATGGAGCAAAGAGAGTTTCGTTCATTCACAAAACTCTATAGAAGGGACTTCTCTGGAATCACAGTAGGGGTAAAAAGAGGTCATTGATTTCATCTCTCTACTTCAGGGAGCGGCGAATTGAAGGTTTACTTACCTGGGACTTCATTCCTTCTTTGGGACCAAGTGAAAAGACCAAGACGCTCCTGGTTAAGCTGGGTATGGAGTACTGTGTAGACGGGGCTGCACGTTCTGGCTTTGCTGAATTTCTGCTTTCTCAGTGGACATCTCAGACCTGAAACATTGCACATCCCCAGCAGTGTCGGGGCCAACTCCGGTTTACGATTCTGAGTAAAAATCCCCCTGCTTCCAGCTTATCTGAGTCCCCTGCCCCTCGCTCTGTTTATTAAGCATCACACTACCCAGGACACACTAGCAGATTGTGCAATGGAGTAAAACCCACACTTTAGATTCTTGCAACTGTATCATATGTAACAGTATCACTTTTTCTACATTTTGGTCAAATAAATTTTTACATAAACTACAAAAAAAAAAAAAAAAAAGGTGCGTGTGCGAGCTCGCCCAAACTCCTGAGAGGAGAATGCAGAGGGATTGTGGGGTGGCCATCCCCCCAGAGGCACGCCTTCTCACTTTCCTTCCTCTGTGTCTCTCTGGCGAATGCACATGCCCTATGGCAAAAAATCTAAAATAACAAGAGAAAATCTTCAGAGGACAGAGTTTCATGTAGTTTTTTTACTTTGAAAAGGCACTTTCCAAATGAAAAGTTAAACTATCCGATAGAATTTTTTTAAAAAAAGATATTTAATTTGGAACCAGCAGTTGATTTCTCACTTTCTGTCTCTATGTCTCTCTCTGTCTGTCTGGTGAGCGCATGTGCCCTATAGTGAAAATCTCTCCAAAAAAAAAAAAAAAAGTTAATTTAATTTGATGAGAGAGAGAGGGAGAGGGCCAGTAGGTGGCGTGGTGGTTAAGGTGCTGGACATTCCCACATGGCCAACCTTGGTTCCAGTCCTAGACCTGGTGGCTTGCTTTCTCACTTTCCCTCTCTCTCTTCCTCTCTGTATCTATC